CGCGGCGGCTGCATGGCGGCAAATGCGGCACGCGGGGCACGGCCCGCCCTTCCCGGACGCCTGGGCCCTCCCCCGGCCTGGCGGGGGGGCTGCAGCGGCCGAGCTCCCCCTGCATTCCCTGAACTCCCTTCCTCAGCAGCCACCACACCGGGAATGCGCTGGTTCTTACTGGAATCCCTGCAGGTTTTACTGGAATTGCAGCAAGCGCCGCCTGGCAAAGGGCTGCGCAGAGGCTCACGCGCTGAGCGGGTCGTGGCGGTGCCACTCAGTGCCCAAGGGCAGCCCGGAGGCTCGCACGCTGAGCGGGTCGTGGCGGCACCGCCGGAGGAAGGACAGCCCGGAGGCTCACGCGCTGAGCGGGTCATCGCGGGTCGTGGTGGTTCTGCAGCTCCAGCGCCCGCCGCGCCATGGCCAGCGCCCCGTCCCGCGTGCGGTGGCCACCCACGAAGCCGCTGGCGTGGACGAAGACGCAGCCGGGGATGCCGGTGAGCTGGCTCAGCGCCTCGTCGCGCTCGCCCCGCCACGGCTCCGGCAGGGGAAGGCTGCCCGGGCAAGAGAAGGGCACGTATTGGGAGGCAGCGGGGCCCGTGGGGACACTGCACCGCGGGGGACACATTGGAAGGCAGCAGGGGACATGGGGACATCGCGCTGGGGGGACACGCTGGGAGGCAGCGGGGGATGCGGGGACATCGCGCCGGGGGGACGTGATCTGAGGCAGCGGGGGACACGGGGACGTCGTGCCAGGGGGACACATTGGAAGGCAGGGGGGGACACGGGGACATCGCGCCAGGGGGACACGGGGACATCGCGCTGGGGGGACGTGTTTGGAGGCAGCAGGGGACGCGGGGATGCCCGGCACGGGGGACGCGGCCTCACCGGCTCTCGAAGGTGTCGGGCCCAGCGGGGACGCTCTGCACGCGCCACTGCCCGCTCGTGTCGGGGTAGAGCACGAGCAGCAGCGCGCGGGGCAGCGCCAGCTCCCGCTCCAGGCTCAGCACGTGCTCCTTCCAGGGGCAGCCGCCCTGCGGCAGCTCCAGCACCGCCCCGCTCGCGTCCACCTGCGCCGGGCAGGGGTCAGCGCCGGCACAGTGCCGCCCGGCCTGGGGACACCTGCACCCCTGGGGTCCCCCTGCATCCCCCGGGCTGGGGACACCCTGCACCCCTGGGTTGGGGACCCCTGCACCCCCGTGCTCAGTCGCCCCCTGCAACGCCTGGGCCGAGTGTCCCCCCTGCACCCCAGGCTCAGTGTCCCCCCCAGATCTCCTTGGCTGTGAGTGTCCCCCTGCACCCCTCTGGGCTGAGTTTCCCCTCATGCATCCCCCCAGACCCCACGGCTGAGTGTCCCCCTACATCTCCCCAGGTCTGAGTGTCCCCCTGCACCTCCCCACGTGCATGAGCCCCCCCAGCCCCGGGGCTGTCACGCTTGTGCTTTGGGGTGTCTGCGCGCAGGGCCGCGGCGGCGGCTCCAAGGGGCTCCGGCTCCTCCGCTCTGCGGCCGCACCTGGAAGCGCCGGCGCACGGCGTCCTCGACGAGCGCGCGCGCGGGCAGCCACGCGCGGTGGTAGTAGTCGAGGCGCTCCAGGAACTCGCTGCCCGCCAGCTCCATGGCCCGCCGGAACCCGGCCTGCGCGCGGCGGGAATGAGCGACGTCCCCGCGTCGCGTCCCCGCCGCCCGCGCGCGCGGACGGCCCCGCGCGGCGCCCACCTCCGTGTCCTGCTCGGCGTCGTTCCAGCGCGGGTTGAGGCGGCCCACGCGGGCGCTCAGCGTGGTGGTGACGGCATAGCGCGCCTCGCCGTCGCGCTGCGCGATGCCGTTGTCCACCGCGTCGATCTCCTCCACAAAGTTCTCATAGAGCTGCGGGGGACGAGGGCAGCGCTCGGGACACCCCGGCTCCTCCGCCCGTGTCCCCGCGTGTCCCCGCGGCCGGTACCTTGTCGTAGAGCGTGGTGACCACGGGCCCGTCCTCGGGCTGCCCCAGGAGGCTGCTCAGGATCTGGGTGCCGAAGTGGCAGTAGACGAGCCCGGCGCTGCTCAGCTTGGTGCTCCAGGGCTTGTCGGGGCGCAGGCAGCGCATGGACTGCGTGAAGGACCTGGCGGGCGGCACCGTCGGGACCCACTGCGGTGGGGGGCCCAGGCGTCCGGGGGGTCCGGGCGGCCGGGCGGGGGCTGCGCTCACCTCTGGTGATGGTCGTAGCGGTGCCTGGCGGGGTCGTACTCGCCGCCCACGTCCACCACGACGTCGCACTGCGCCAGGCGCTGCGGGTCCCGCGTGCGGATCACCTCGGCGTCCTGCGCACCGCCGGGGATGGCACCGGATCCGGGGCGACCCGGGAGCCCACGGAGGACCAGAGCTCGGATCCGTCGCCATCCGGGAGCTGGGAGCCCGTGGGGGATGGGAACTTGGGGAGAGGATTCGGGGTGATTCGGGACACGGGAGTCCGCGAGGGGCACGAGCTCGGTGTGGGACAGGGGCAGACTGGACCCCAGCTCTGGTCAGGGCTCCCAGGATCCCACCAGGGGGTCGCGGGATCCGGTCAGGGATGCCGGGCTCCCGTCGGAGGTTCTGGGCTCCCATCAGGGGGGTCACGGGCTCCGGTTGGAGAATCCCGGGTTCCCGTCGGGGATCCCGGGCTCCATAGAGGATGTCGGGGCTCCGGTTGGGATCGCGGGGTTCCGGTTGGGGGGTCCCGGTGGGAGAGTCCCGGGTTCCCGTCGGGATGTAGGAGATCCCGTCGGGGGTCCCGGGGTTCCCGTTGGGGATATCGGGGCTCCTGTTGGGGACGAGGGGGCTCCCGCGGGAGCCGCCGAGGCTCCATTCGGGGGTTCTGGGCTGCCGTCGGGGCTGTGGGGGCTCCGGTGGGTGCCCGGTCCGCCGCCCGTACCCGGTACTGCGGCAGCAGGCGCAGCAGGTAACAGGCGAGCGCCTCGTCGCAGTGGAAGGTGCCATCGTGGGTGCCGATGCGCGGGGCGGCCTCGCAGCGGGGCCGCTTGGTCCCGGTCCCGGTGCCCGCCCCGCTCCCGGCGGCGGCGGCCATGAGGCGGGCGGCG